AAATTTTTCCTTTTTTTGGATATGTTAAAAGAAAAACTATATATATAAAAAATTGAACTTATGCCATAATAAAACCAAAATTTCAATTTATAGTTCCTCCCTTCCCCTTGTTTACACTGTTACATGTAGTAATTAAGTGTTAATTATTACTTTCTAGATCTCAGTAATTATACAATTAACCCAGTGGCGGACTAAGGCTTAAGCGGGCCCTAGGTAACATTATAATTCCGGGCCAATTTCTCAAATAAAAATAAAAATAAATTATAAAAATTAAAAACTTAAAACCTAATTTTCGGGCTCCAAAAATTACTACAAGAAAATATTAGGCCTTAGTCCGTCCTTGCATGGACCGCATCAAATTTATCGAGATGAAGAAATGAAGCTTTATTATAGAAATTTGTAGAAAGCTATCGGTAACGACGTTACATTATTTTTAGTACAGTCCTTGTACATTTTTTATAACGAAAGGAATATTCGGTAGACTGTAATGGCAATTATTGATAATTATTGTTACTTTGAATAATAAAAGTCACGTATTGAAATCATTGTTTTCCTTTCAAAACTAACCGACTTATCAAGGTTTAACATGAATCTAAATGCTGCATTAGGCAGGTTTTAATTTTTTAAGGCAATCCCATAATTAACATTAACTACACTCATCGTAACACAATAAGCCTATTGCCACTGTATTTAGTTATGGATCGATCGACTGACACGATATATTAATATATGTATACACAATAATTTATTCTCACTGAAAAACTTTTACGGCAACACATTTTATGCATTATTTGAATTAATTGTAGTAGAATCAAATCTAAAACAATTAAATCAACCAGCTGTGAAACACACCATGACGAATTAATTCAACAATACCAACGCAAATGAGATAAAATTAATGATTTTGTTAAGCAAAATAGTAAACAGCAAAACTATACGCTTACTACGTTTTTAAAGAGAGACAGAAAATACAGTCAGGCGAATTAATGAAAACAGTTGTAAAATTTATTGTTACTTAAATGCAAAACATGGACAGTAGACGCGGCGGAAAAGAAAAGATTGGAAGGCTTCGAAATGTGGTTTTATAGGCAAATGATGAGGATATCGTGGGTAGAAAAGGTTTGAAATGAAGAGGTATTAGAAAGAATAGGAAAACAGAGGACTCTATGGAAGTCAATAAAATATAGGCGAGATAGGTTGGTAGGACACCTTCTCAGGCATGAAGGTCTAGTCAGAGACATATTAGAGGCAGAAACAGGAGTTAGGAGGGGTAGAGGTAGACCTAGGTTAGAGTACTGTTCACAAATAGTTAAGGATGTGGGTTGTTCTAGTTTTAGGGAAATGCAAATTTTAGCTCAGGATAGGAAAGAGTGGAGGTACGTGTCCAACCAGTATTAGGACTGACGACCCTATGATGATGATGAACTAGAAATTATTTACTAAATTTATAGAAAGCAAAAGAACTGCAACTTAACAAAATATAAAGACACTCAAGCAAACTCAAGAAGTGATCATTTTTGTATTTCATTAAATAAACCATCAAAAGGTCTAAACAAAAGGTAGAAGTAAAAGCTTTTGCTACAATTCGTATTCATAAATAATCTATACCTTTTCCTTGTAAGGAAATGCTTCAAATAACAACTATTTATTTTATTTGTTTAATACATTCCTGATTTACTTGTGCAGTGTTGAAAGTTAGCAAATTTAAAATGGTTTCGGGATACGCGCCAAGAAAGGTCCGTCAACCACACAACTTTCTCCTCCTCAAATCTAAATAACGTTTTAAAATCTGATTCTCGTGGTGTACGTCTTGGTTTGTAGTATTTTCTTGTACGTAAATGCACCACATCAGTCATAACAAGCGCAACACTGGGACCACACAACTCAAGATTATTTATACAAGTCCTTTTAGATATATTTTAACGCAAAACCAGTCCTTCAAATACATAAACTTCTACATTACAACATGTGTGATATGTCTGGACAGATACTAAAAAGTTGAAAAGAGCGAGAAAAGTTGTTGTGAACCTAGATTACTTTTTTTAGAAGCAAATCCATTAAGTCGTTTTTGAGCAGATACTTCTTTTTATAAATACAAATTATATAAAACCTTTTACTTTAAAGCAAACCCTCGAATCAAAACCTTTTCCTTTGCTTTTGTTCAATTTTTGGAAGCAAAAGGTAAGGCTGCCTTTTATAAATACCACATATTGTCAAAACATTTCAGATTTATATATTTAGAAATGCATAGGGTATCCATGTATTTGATGCACTACAACTTCCGAGGAAGTCTTCTACAAAGGTAAACTTTTAATTGAGATTGCTACTGCATTTACGTACCTAAACGAGAGTGCTTTCATCTTAGAGTACCTACCTACCTATATAATATGCATAGATATTAGCAAGGAAATATGAACCGCGTCGAAATATAATTAATTGAATAAAAATCTGTGAGTAACTTATCGTCCAATCGGGGAGAGTTTCGAATATCAATTATTATCCGATAAACTAAAATACAAAAATATCTACTCTGTTTTTAGACAATATTATATTGTACTGTTTGTGAAATATTTAAGTAAATTCTAAATATTATTTACAAAAAGTACACTTCTACAAGATTCACTAAATTCTTTTTTGATGAAATCGTTTCATCCAAAAATGTAGGCGTAAATGTAGGAGTTAGTCTTTACAGTTCTCATTTTCTGATGCTGTCCGGGGTTGTAATAATGTCTATGGTTTAAGAATTTTATGACTGGAGAAGATTTTTATTCAATTTTAAACCTAGGATCATATCGTAATATTACTAGAATGATTAAATTTGTGATGTTATTGCCTTAATCATTTACTCCAGTTGATAGTTTTAATAATGAGAAACGCAGGAAATGTAAAAAAAAAAACTAAACGCAAAATGTTAAAAATCATTCAGCAATTTCTTGTAAAATTTAAAATGTAACTAAATATCACTAAAAAAATCATTTCTCGTTGAAAATACAATTGAATAAATAAAGTTTAATGTTTTAGTAAACTGTTAACACTGTATGTACCAGGTTGGAACTAAAAACATTATGCTAAGCTTACGAAAGCGTTACTGCCTAGTAGTATACAGAAATGCAGCTAAATTCTAAAATAATATTTTAAACTACAGATAAATATATTCAAAGGTTTAATTTCTCCATACACTCTTTAACAATGACCCTTTGGTAAAAATTACATGTATTTATGTCTCATAGCAATAGACGATCGCTTATTAAATTAGCTGATGAAAATGGGTGGTATAAAATTTAGTTGACTCTAACAGTGAGCGAATCAAAAATAAATAAAAATGCGATCTATCGTTTACCAG